ACACCCACATCAGGTTGAATCACCGGTTCCCCTGCGATCGCCTAAGTTACGCAACGTTGAGCCTGGTCAGTACCTAGATGGGTGACTGCTTGGGAATAATAGGTGCTGTATGCTTGGATGGTGTAATGCATAAGGGCTCGGATTTGTGAATCGCGGAGCCAAGTTCCAATTCCGGTTGGGTTCGTTATATTCGCTCAAGCGCAAATATCCTTGGGAAAGATACGAATCCACCCATTTTCGCCTCCCAGCTTTGGGTTAATTAGTAAGATTTTTATCAATAAATAAATTCGTCAAAGACGGATTTATGTGCCCGCAAAAAAATCAGAATTTCAAAAGTACGGTTTCACTCATGGCATTAATTTTAGCTAATTTTCGGCAATGTTTATTGATTACAATTATAATACCTAAAAATATGAAAGTAAATTTATACATTTACAGCGATGCGATCTTAAGAGAACTAGATGTCCTAACAGGATTTAATTCTGTTGGGTACAATCTTAACAACATGATATATGCAGATGACATTACTTTAATTTTGGCTAATCTTTGGCAATGTTTATTGATTACAATTATAATAATAATTAAAAATATGAAAGTAAATTTATACATTTACAGCGAGGCGACCTTAAGAGAACTAGATGTCCTACCAGGATTTAATTCTTTTGTGTACAATCTTAAAAGCATGATATATGCAGATGACACTACTTTAATTTTAGCTAATCTTTGGCAATGTTTATTGATTACAATTATAATAATACCTAAAATATGAAAGTAAATTTTTGTACGTTTACAGCGAGGCGATCTTAAGAGAACTAGATGTCCTACCAGGATTTATTTCTGTTGGGTACAATCTTAACAATATGATATATGCAGATGACACTACTTTAATTTTAGCTAATCTTTGGCAATGTTTATTGATTGCAATTATAATAATACCTAAAAATATGAAAGTAATTTTTTGTACATTTACAGCGAGGCGATCTTAAGAGAACTAGATGTCCTACCAGGATTTAATTCTGTTGGGTACAATCTTAACAACATGATATATGCAGATGACACTACTTTAATTTTAGCTAATCTTTGGCAATGTTTATTGATTACAATTATAATAATACCTAAAATATGAAAGTAAATTTTTGTACGTTTACAGCGAGGCGATCTTAAGAGAACTAGATGTCCTACCAGGATTTATTTCTGTTGGGTACAATCTTAACAACATGATATATGCAGATGACACTACTTAAATTTTAGCTAATCTTTGACAATGTTTATTGATTACAATTATAATAATACCTAAAATATGAAAGTAAATTTTTGTACGTTTACAGCGAGGCGATCTTAAGAGAACTAGATGTCCTACAAGGATTTAATTCTGTTGGGTACAATCTTAACAACATGATATATGCAGATGACACTACTTTAATTTTAGCTAATCTTTGGCAATGTTTATTGATTGCAATTATAATAATACCTAAAAATATGAAAGTAATTTTTTGTACATTTACAGCGAGGCGATCTTAAGAGAACTAGATGTCCTACCAGGATTTAATTCTGTTGGGTACAATCTTAACAACATGATATATGCAGATGACACTACTTTAATTTTAGCTAATCTTTGGCAATGTTTATTGATTACAATTATAATAATACCTAAAATATGAAAGTAAATTTTGTACGTTTACAGCGAGGCGATCTTAAGAGAACTAGATGTCCTACAAGGATTTAATTCTGTTGGGTACAATCTTAACAACATGATATATGCAGATGACACTACTTTAATTTTAGCTAATCTTTGGCAATGTTTATTGATTGCAATTATAATACCTAAAAAATATGAAAGTAATTTTTGTACATTTACAGCGAGGCGATCTTAAGAGAACTAGATGTCCTACCAGGATTTAATTCTGTTGGGTACAATCTTAACAACATGATATATGCAGATGACACTACTTTAATTTTAGCTAATCTTTGGCAATGTTTATTGATTACAATTATAATAATACCTAAAATATGAAAGTAAATTTTGTACGTTTACAGCGAGAGGCGATCTTAAGAGAACTAGATGTCCTACCAGGATTTATTTCTGTTGGGTACAATCTTAACAACATGATATATGCAGATGACACTACTTTAATTTTAGCTAATCTTTTGGCAATGTTTATTGATTGCAATTATAATAATACCTAAAAAATATGAAAGTAAATTTTTGTACATTTACAGCGAGGCGATCTTAAAGAGAACTAGATGTCCTACAAGGATTTAATTCTGTTGGGTACAATCTTAACATGATATATGCAGATGACACTACTTTAATTTTTTGCTAATCTTTGGCAATGTTTATTGATTACAATTATAATAATACCTAAAATATGAAAGTAAATTTTGTACGTTTACAGCGAGGAAGGATCTTAAGAGAACTAGATGTCCTACCAGGATTTAATTCTGTTGGGTACAATCTTAACAACATGATATATGCAGATGACACTACTTCAATTTTAGCTAATCTTTGGCAATGTTTATTGATTACAATTATAATAATACCTAAAAATATGAAAGTAAATTTTTGTACATTTACAGCGAGGCGATCTTAAGAGAATTAGATGACCTACCAGGATTTAATTCTATTGGGTACAATCTTAACAACATGATATATGCAGATGACATTTATTTAATTTTAGCTGATCTTTGGCAATGTTTATTGATTACAATTATAATAATACCTAAAAAATATGAAAAGTAAATTTATACATTTCAGCGTCGATCTTAAGAGAACTAGATGTCCTACCAGGATTTATTTCTGTTGGGTACAATCTTAACAACATGATATATGCAGATGATACTACTTTAATTTTGGCTAATCTTTGGCAATGTTTATTGATTACAATTATAATAATACCTACAAATATGAAAGTAAATTTATACATTTACAGCGAGGCGATCTTAAGAGAACTAGATGTCCTTTCCAGGATTTATTTCTGTTGGGTACAATCTTAGCAACATGATATATGCAGATGACACTACTTTAATTTTGGCTAATCTTTGGCAATGTTTATTGATTGCAATTATAATAATACCTAAAAATATGAAAGTAAATTTTTGTACATTTACAGCGAGGCGATCTTAAGAGAACTAGATGTCCTACAAGGATTTAATTCTGTTGGGTACAATCTTAACAACATGATATATGCAGATGACACTACTTTAATTTTTGCTAATCTTTGGCAATGTTTATTGATTACAATTATAATAATACCTAAAAATATGAAAGTAAATTTTTGTACATTTACAGCGAGGCGATCTTAAGAGAATTAGATGACCTACCAGGATTTAATTCTATTGGGTACAATCTTAACAACATGATATATGCAGATGACATTTATTTAATTTTAGCTGATCTTTGGCAATGTTTATTGGTTACAATTATAATAATAATTAAAAATATGAAAGTAAATTTATACATTTACAGCGAGGCGATCTTAAGAGAACTAGATGTCCTACCAGGATTTATTTCTGTTGGGTACAATCTTAACAACATGAGATATGCAGATGACACTACTTTAATTTTAAATAATCCTTGACAATGTTTATTGATTAGAAAGTGAAGAGACAAATCTTATAAAGAAATAAAATATTAGACTGTTCGGAAAATAATGTCATATTTCAGAATAAACATTTTCTGATTTCTCATATATTAAAACAACAATTGGTTTCTAACATACTGGGCTGGTCGGAAAATAATCTTTGATTTTAGAATATACCTTTTGATTAGCTTCTAATATATTGGGCTGTTCAGAAAATAAGTTCTTAATTCAAAACAAACCTTTTTATTGTTTTCTAATATATTAAAACAACAAAAAATAAAGTTCTACAGAAGGATACTGAGAATACCAAGTACTAAGCATGTGAGTAATGACGAAGTTTTAAGAAAAATAGAAACCAAAAGTATACTTAAAATCAGTCAATTGACATTTCTAGGACACATAATGGGGAAAGAAGATTGGAGAATTCAACACTCACAGGACATATTGAAGGCAATAGGGACATAGGAAAACAGAGAGTAGCCTTCCTAGTAAGCTTGTGTAAACTGCTGGTAGAAAGCAGATTTTGAAGGTTGATGAAAAAACAAAGGATAAGAAGTTGTGGAGAGCCATGATCGCCTACATCCAGAAAGGACATGTCAAACAGAAAAATAAGATTCACATATTTTAACATACACTGGAAATGAATTTTTATATTTTTTTAAGATAATTTCTGTCATTTATTTGCAAAATTAGAATTGATTCAAGTTTGAAATCGAACTAAAAAATAAACTGCGCTGTTCAGTAAAATCATTTTACACGATTTGAATTTATAAGATATTCGACGTTTCAACAAACTTATTCAATATGTGACTTCGTCCTTCCAAATTTAGCACCAGATCTGAGTCAACTGAATCTCTTTTTTATAACGCTGCATTTAATTTTTTTTGAAGATCTTAGGTGACGGGCAAGCAAGAAACCAAAAGACAGTTCAACAGGCGAGGAGTGCGAGGGAAGAAACTATCAGAAAAGAATCATTGAACCATTTCTATAGTAAAATGACAGTTATATATATATATATATATATATATATATATATATGACAGTTATATATATATATATATATATATAAGTATAAAAGTGAACATAGAAGTCAACACTTAGAGGCGACAGTCTGTTTCATGCTATATGCAATCGTCAGGCCACGTGTGCTGTTATTTTTCTCGGCTATTTATACATATACAGGCCAGTGGTGCATTGTGGGTAGTCTATTATGGCGGTTATTTTACCGGAAGTCGTTTATTTAAAAAAATTGTTTATATCACTTATTTAATAGTTTTGTTTGGTTTGAGAATTTAATTAAAGCTATTTGTTCCGTTTGGGGGTTGGTTGTTGTAGTTTTATTCTAACTATTATTTTGGCAGAAACAGTTTTTAATTTGGGTTGACTATCTTTATTTGTTTTTTCTATCGGTAACTTTATCGGGATTGGTTAGTTTATTTATTTACTTGGACGAATTTAGGTCAATCTATTTTACTTCTATATTTTCTCGTTTCGGTTTTCGATTTTTAAGTAACGTAGTATTTATTTATTT